CCACTGCAATGATGTAAAGTAATTAGCCTCCAACTAATAAAAATAAATGGAAAAAAAATAAAGAAAAAAAAATAAAGAGGTCCCTTATAGAACAGTCTGCTCCGAGGCAGATTTGAGCAAAAGTAGATGATTTGAACAAGAAATTTGCCACCTTCCCTTTGAGATGCTGCAACTCTCTGAGAATCACAGCCCCAGCACCCGTTCCCAGAGGTGTTCCTAATCTGGAGTCTATGTGAGGTGCTTCTGCTACTGGGGAAGAAGTGAGAGTTGTGCTAGGCGTTGGGGAAGGCAGCCAGGAGGGGCAGAGCGGCTGAATATTTAAACACATAAAATGTTTATCTTTTTAATTATAAAAGATGCTTCTTGCTTACTGTTGAAACTTTTAAAAATACAAGGGAAAAAATGTCACTTCTCATTCCTCTCTGGGTTTCCCAGGTGGCGCTAGTGTAAAGAACTCACCTGCCAACGCAAGAGATGTGAGACATGAGTTCGATCCCTGGGTTGGGAAGATCCCTTAGAGGAGGGCATGGCAACGCACTCCAGTATACTTGCCTGGAGAATCCCATGGAGAGAGGAATCTGGCAGGCTACAGTCTATAGGGTGGCAGAGTCAGACACAACTGAAGCAACTTAGCACACACACCCCTCTCTAACCATCTCTTGGCAGGACGTCAACCGGCACAGTCTCCCAAAGCCTGCAGCAGAGTCTCCCTGTGCATACACAAAATCAGACTCCCGGGCCTGCCCCCCACATCTGCAGAATCCAGACTTCTGAGCATGGATGAGTCCCCAGCACCGGAATTTTGAAAGGTACCCGCAGCAATTCTTACAACGACTTCCTTTTGGAACTGTAAACCCTGCCAGTGCAGATATTTGGACTTCTTCTGTTCACTATTTTATCCCAGAACCTGCCATATGGGAGGTATTCAGTAAACATGCATTGAATAAAGAATAAGTTCTTTTTTTTAACCACATACGCTTTTCTTCCTTTTTTTGAAACGTGTCCTCATAGTTTCACTTAATGATAGATGAAGGATTTACCATGCACTTGTCACTGTCCTGAGTTTTGCAAGCATTATCTCATTTATACTAAACTCATTAAGCAATCATAATTTATAATCCATATTTCAGATGAAAAATCCTAAACACAGAGAAACTGTAATTTGTCCAATGCCACACAGCTAGTAAGTGGTAGAAGCAGGTTTAAACCTCAGAACTAAAGAAGACTGGAGCCTTCATGTTTCACGTTTGGATCCATTGAGCCTTTTCTCGGGCTTTCAGCAATGTTCTACATTTTTATGTGAATGACTGACAAGGGCTTAATTTCCAAAATATATGAGAAGTTACTATAATTCAGTAACAAAAAACAAACAATCTAATCAAAAAATGAGCAGAAGATCTAAAAAGACATTTCTCCAAAGAAGACATATAGATGGCCAAGGGGGACATAAGAAGATGCTCATCACTGCCAATAATTAGAGAAATGAAAATCAAAACAAGAATGAGCTACCACCTCACACCAGTCAGAAAGGTCATCATTTAAAAGTCTACAAATAATAAATGCTGGAGAAGGTGTGGAGGAAAAGGAACACTTTTACACTACTGGTGAGAATGTAAACTGGTTCAGCCACTATGGAAAATAGTATGGAGTTTCCTCAAAAAAAAACTAAAATTAGAGATGCTGTAAGATCCAGCAATCCCACTCCTAGGCATATGCCCAGAAAAAAAAAAGTAATTCAAAAAGATACATGCACCCGTATGTTTATAGCAGCCTTATTTACAAAAGCCAAGACATGTAAACGACCTAAATGTCCTTTGACAGATACAATGGACTATCACATGCACGCAAACCAAGTCACTTCAGTTGTGCCCAGTTCTTTGCAACCCCATGGACTGTAGCCCACCAGGCTTCTCTGTTCTTGGGATTCTCCAGGCAAGAATACTAGAGTGGATTGTCATGCCTTCTTCCAAGCAATCTTCCTAACCTAGGAATTGAACCCTTGTCTCTTATGTCTCCTCCATTGACAGGCAGGTACTTTAACACTAGCACCACCAGAGAAGCCCACATGGACTATTACCCAGCCATTAAAAAGAATGAAATTCGCCAGGACATGGATGCAACTAGAGATTATCATACTAAGCAAAGTAAGTCAGAAAGAGAAAGACAAAGATCATATGCTATCACTTTCATGTGGAATTAAAATATAACACAAATGAACATAGCTATGAAATAAAAATAGCCTCACAGATAAAGCAAACAGACTTGTGGTTACCAAGGGGTATACAGAGGAGAGAAGATTAGGAGTTTGGGATTAGCAGATGCAAACTATTATCTATAGGATGGCTAAACAAAGTGAAAGAGGAAAGTGAAAAAGTTGGCTTAAAGCTCAACATTCAGAAAACTAAGATCATGGCATCTGGTCCCACCACTTCATGGCAAATAGATGAGGAAACAATGGAAACAGTGGCTGACTTTATTTCTCTGGGCTCCAAAATCACTGCAGATGGTGACTGCAGCCATGCAATTAAAAGACGCTTACTCCTTGGAAGGAAAGTTATGACCAACCTAGACAGCATATTAAAAAGTAGAGACATTACTTTGCTAACATAGGTCCGTCTGGTCAAGGATATGGTTTTTCCAGTGGTCATGTATGGATGCGAGAGTTGGACTGTGAAGAAAGCTGAGCACCGAAGAATTGATGCTTTTGGACTGTAGTGTTGGAGAAGACTCTTGAGAGTCCCTTGGACTGCAAGGAGACCCAACCAGTCCATCCTGGTCCATCCTAAAGGAGATCAGTCCTGGGTATTCATTGGAAGGACTGATGCTAAAGCTGAAACTCCAATATTTTGGCCACCTGATGCAAAGAGCTGACTCATCTGAAAAGACCCTGATGCTGGGAAAGATTGAGGGCAGGAGGAGAAGGGGACGACAGAAGATGAGATGGTTGGATGGCATCACAGACACAATGGACATGGGTTTGGGTGGACTCTGGGAGTTGGTGATGGACAGGGAGGCCTGGCATGATGTGGTTCATGGGGTCGCAAATAGTCAGACATGACTGAGCGACTGAACTGAACTGAAACAACAAGGTCCTACTGCATAGTACAAGGAATTATATTCAATATCCTGTGATAAAGCAAAATGGAAAAATATATATATATTATATACATGTATTTGTGTTTGAGTCACTTTGCTGTCAAGCAGAAATTAACACAACATTGTAAATCAACTATATTTCAATAAAATTTCTTAAAAAGCAATGTCCTACGTTTGTTAATGGTAATGTGGTATTCCACTTACACATTCACTAGAATTTAAGAAATTAATGAACAGTTCCTCTCTATTTTTACAACACTGTTCCAGAAGCATGTTAACTAAATTTTTGCGCAATCATACTTTTTCCTTTAACCATTTCCTGAAAGTGGAAGTGTCAGGTGAAAGGATATGACCACTTTTAGGACTCTTGATTCATGCTGACTATTGTCCTACTAAAATGTTTTAATAATAAGGCATATATCAACCAGCATTATAAAGGTGCCTATTTCTTCCGTTAAAAACATAGAAACTTTGAGTATCATTAAAAAATACTTGCTTATGGATGTCAAGCTTGGGGGCGAGTTCTAGTTCTTTTTTAAAAGAAGCAGGACCTTGGCAGTACCAGAGTCAGGCAGGGAGACGAGAGTTCATCTCCAAACCTCTGGCAACACCTGTTTTGGGGTTTGTTTTCTGCTTTTATTTTATTTTGTTTTACCTCTGTGCCTTGACTGATGTTACACCCCCCGCTGCTAGGGATGTTTTCATTTCTGTGCATTCCACAAATTCACTGTGTCCCACTCCAGTTCCTGGTGACCCTGCTCCTCAGAAGATCTATGTAAGGTCTGCCGAGGGCCAGCAGAAACCTGGTCTCCTGTCCTTATCGACAGAGCACAGATAAAGAAATCCAGGCTCAGCTGGGCTGAGGTCACACAGCGTGTAAAGAGGTAGAATGAGGAGTCTTAGAGCTGGAACTCTCCACCACCCGCCCACCCCTGCCTCTCCCTTGGCAAAACGTGCCACCTGGGAGAAAATCTGAACGGTGAATCAACCATTGCCAGGGTGGACTAACTTAGTAACCCTCAGTCAAAAAAGAAATTACTTCTCCTCATGAAGAGGAAGTGAGAAGGAAAGAGCCCCTACCCACGGCCCCAGCACTCCAAATGTAGGCATCACTCAGCCCAGAGACACTGGCTCCAAACACTCGGCTTCTGGTGGAACTGAAATCATTATTGATCCAAAAGCGTTCTCTGAATGAGCTCACAGTCTACCTCAGCTGCCTGCTGGCCTGCCAGGTTCCTAGGAGCAGCTGCTTCCTTGGTCAGCTCTTCCAGGCTCATATTTACTCTGAGAAATTAGAAGTTAAAAGTAAAAGCAAATAGAGATGGAATTTAATTATATCGAGCAGATTTGCAACGTGCAAGGAATACTGTTCTCCTCTGAAAAGCAGAAGAGACAGCTGAGCTGGCACCCAGGCACTGCCTGTGCCGACAACTCAGCTCTCGTCCCCCCTCAGCATCTCTCCATCTATGGATTGCATGTAGACTCCATGGGGGTGAGGACTGTGTCCCCATCACTCAACATACTGCTGTTACTATAGCTTTCAGCAGGAAATAACTGATAAAGAGGATGAGAATGTCTTGAAGCATTCTGCACTGATTGTTTTTAAATGCGAAACCCAGAAGAAGGCAGCCTTAGAGTTGGTTTGGCAGCTTAGGATCCAAACCATCAGGATCCAGACTCTCCTATGCAGTAATCCCCCTTATCCACAGTTATGCTTCCTGGGGTCTCAGTTACTCCCCCACCCCCCAGGTCAACTGAGGGGCAGAGGGGTAGGTGAATGCTGTCAGCCAAGAAAGCGCGAATTCATGCCCACACAATTTGTATTTCCAGGCTGGTGACATTTGGGTTGCAAGTGAGCAAGACACAGTTGGCTACAGTTTTCCCACGTGGGGAATGTGACTTACCTAGACGCTCAGAGCAGGTGACACTGCTGGTGAAAAGCCCACCCGGGAAACCAGAGGCCGGCCTCTCTGTTAGGATCTGAGGATTCTGCAAACAGAACAGAAATCAGGGGAATGCTGGCAGCCAGGACCACCTCTAGGATGTACATGGAACCAGATTCACTGCTCTCTCACTGATTCAGATGGTCCTGTGGATGAAAAATGTTGCCTGCCATAACAGTAAGCAAAGGATGTTTCCGTCATCAAGCTACTACAGCCACCCGATGCTGAGCCCCAAGGAACTCAGGATGGAGACAGAAGGGCTGCCCGCTGCCAAATCCTCGGCCATTGGAGTCACCCCAACTGTGCAACACAGGATGGAAAAGAGCAGGATGCTGGTTCTAGATAGCTGAGATGCAAAGAAAGGAATGGTTTCAGAGGGCCCAGACTCTTGCATCTTCCCATACATAGAAAAGTACTAAACTCATTAACTTGAGATGTCTGGTTGTCTTTAATTAATGGTAATCTTTTAATGTTCCAACAAGCTGGTCTTGGTTGCAAAAACCTCTAATATCCTGTCTCCTTCCTTACCTCTTCCAAGCAGTCCTTCAAAACTATCTGAGAGGTTGTGTCCTGAGACTGAAGTCCTCAAAAAGTCTGCCAAATAAAAGGTAATTCTCAACTTTTAGGTTGTACATTTGTTTTAAGTCAACAGTCCCTTCTCTTTGGGGGGCCTCAATTTCCTCATTTATAATACGAAGGAGGAAAAAAAAAGAGGAAGAGGTCACATTACATCTCTAAGGTCCTTTAACATTTATGTTCAATTTTGTTAGTTATAGAATCCACAAACAAGAAAAAAGTTAAAATAAATCAGTGATGCAACAGAGGATATGAACAAAGATATGGCCCAACCATAACACAGTAAGATGCAATAGTTGAGAATCTGGGCTTGAGACTCAGCTGGACTTGGACCCAGTACCAAGATCTGTCACTTACTATATGATCTCATGTTTTTAAGCCCAAGATGCGTTTTCCTTGTCTACAAAATGGAGACAATAATAGTGATCTCATGAAAGAGCGTTGAGAATTAAATAATATACTCATGTTGCCAGGTAAAGGACCAGGCACATACTAGGTGCTTCATAAACTGCACTCTCAACAAACCAAAAAGATAACTCCTTAGGACTTCCCTGGTGTGGTGTCTGACTCTTTGGAACCCCAGGGACTGTAGCCCCCCAGTCTCTGTCCATGGGGATTCACAAGGCAAGAATACTGGAGTGGGTTGCCATTCCCTTCTCCAGAGCATCTTCTCGACCCAGGGATCGAACCTGGGTCTTCTGCATTGCAGGTGCATTCTTTACCATCTGAGCCACCAGGGAAACCCAGACTTCTCTGGTGGTCTAGTGGTTAAAAATCCACTCTGCCAATGCAGAGGACACAGGTTTGATCCCTAGTCTTGGAAGATTCCACATGCCGAGAGGCAACTAAGCCCATGAGCCACAACTACTGAGCCCTCGAGCTGCAAATACCGAAGCACACTCACCCCAGAGCCCGTGCTCCACAAGAGATGCCACCACAACGAGAAGCCCAAAAGCCACAGTGAAAAATAGTCCCCGCTCACCACAACTAGAGAAAGCTCGTGCACAGCAACTAAGCCCCAGCATAGCCAAAAATAATTTTTTCAAGCTTTAAAAAAAAATGAATCCTCAACTGATAATCTTCCTTTAAGACTTCAAGAATCTCTATATCTTGGTTTTGGTTTCCAAATCTTTGTTCCAAAAGAACTATCCTTTCTTCTGACTGCCAACTTTGAGTTCAAGGAAGGTGCTGGGACCATCGTTCTTCCTGCAAACTGGATGATTATGTGTTTTATAAAGAGGAATGCCAGGCTTCACTATAGACTCAGGGAAGTGTGCGGAGGCCATCTATCCTGGCAAGGGTCCACCTTTCTTCCTTTCATGGGCCTTGTCTTGCTGGATAGCCAAATAAAAGTTTCTGCCCACTCACAATGAAAAATCTATTCATTAATGGGATGTAATTCACATTATGTGCCACTAATTACCCTAGGAAAGCAGTAAAAATTAATAAGGAACTACAGTTTAATTGTTTGATAATGACAGGGAGTTCCAAAGTGTTCTCTTGAGTAATAAAATTAACATTTAAACTAGTTCAGTCAAAGAACCTTCCCTTAAATATAACTCTTCACTATTAGTGTGGCTTATCTATTTCTTTATTATCTCTTTGGCAGCTCTAAAATATCACAAATATCTACTGAACATTGAGAATCTGCCCAGTGTTCCAGGACAGTGACTAGCCTGTCTGCAGAGTTTCAGGTGAACTGTGGGTGGTCCCCACCCCCCCCCAACACACACACACTCACAAACATACACACACAGTAAAATCAGATTGTTCTATGTTTATTTAACCAGGGGTAAAGAAGCTTCTCAGAAACTAGGGCATTTCCCCAAAGGGAGATGGGAGCTGGGAGAAGCTGCCAAAACACTGCCCAGAGTAGGGTCCTACAAAATCTCAGAAATGAAATTTCTCCTACGATGTTATTCTTTTACATTGGAGTATATATTGCTATTCCAGGATACTCTCTGGGCTTTTAAGGGAGTGTGGTAGTTTTAAAATATGCCCATAAAAACTGGAGTATAATTCCCTCCCCCTTGAACATGAGGAGGATTTAGTGCTTCTAACAAAATGTAGCATAAGTGAGGTTGTGTGACTTGAAACTAGGTTCTAAAATGGATTCAGCTTCCACCTAGCTGTCTCCTGAGATGCTCGCCCTTGGAATCCAGCCTCCACATTGTGAGGAAACCAAAGCACAAGGAAAAGCCGCACACGGATGTCTCAGCCAACAGACCCAGCTAGGCCCCCAGCCAGCAACGGCATCAACCTCCAGACTCATACTTGAAGGAGACTTTAAATAAGGGGCCCCCAACCCCAAGCCATGGATTAGTACTCAGTCCGTGGCCTGTTAGCAACCAAGTCGAGGTAGTGAAGCTTCATCTGCCACTCCCCACTGCTACCCGTCACTCACATCACTGCTCGCACCACACGCCCACCCCTATCTTCCTGGAAACCAGTCTCTGGTGACAAAAAGGCTGGAGACCACTGCCTTAGATGATTCCAACACTCAGCCTTTGACCCTTCCTGCTTGTCCCATAGCTGCGGCCCAGAGCTGGTGCATCAGATACAAAGCACGCCCCCTGCATTCTGGACTCCTGACCCGCGGAGGCCACATGCTGTGCTGTGCCATGCCCATGGCCTCCGTTGTATTTGACTCTCTGCGACCGTGCAGACTACTGCCCGCCAGTCTCCTCTGTCATGGGATTCTCCAGGCAAGAATACTGGAGTGGGTTGCCACACCTTCCTCCAGGGGATCTTCCTGACCCAGGGACTGAACCCACATCTCCTGTGCCTCCTGCAGGGCAGGTTGATTCTTTACTGCTGGGCCATGGGGGAAGCCCACAGAGACCATGTGAGAAACTCAATGATAATCATTATTTTAAGCTACAAAATTTGGAGATAAGCTCTTACATGGCAATAGGTGACACATACAGAAAATTTTGTAGACACAGGGACTCTTGGTTCTGGAGCCAAAACCTTAAGGCCAGCAAGGCATGACTCACACAGGTCAGAGGGGAATGAAGAGGAAGGGCTCCGTGTTGTGGACCACAGCTCCAGCCCCCAGCCTTTCAACATATTCATTACCGCTGAATAACATACTTCAACAGAAGCGCTGTAGTTCTGAGCAACTTAAAGACTGCAGGGTTTACTTATAATTCACAGAGACAGGACTAAGTACTATTTATCTACCTGGAATGTTTGCTTTCCCTGAAGAGTTAAGGATTGGCACTGATGATCCCTTGAAACTTGGCTTTCCGAGAATCCCATCATGTTGTGGCCCATTTCACTCTTGCCTGAGACAGAGAAAAAGACAACAAAGAAACGGCTGTGCTGAGACCAGTCATGCCCCTCCTCCACCCTAGACTCAGACTCCATGCCCCCATGTCCGCTCTCTCATACCAGCACTGCTATCTTCCCAGGCCAGGCCAGCTGTCTTCTTATTCATTCATTCATTCACTATATATCCAGTGCCTACTGCATCAGGGGAGACAGACATTGAACAACTAATCATACAAACAAAGAATTCCACTCAGGACTTTCCTAGTGGTCAAGCGGCTAGGACTCGGCGCTCCCAATACAGAGGATCTGGGTTTGATGCCTGGTCTGGGAACTAGATTCCACATGCTGCAACTAAGATCCAGGGCAGACAAATAAATAAATACTAAAAGAAAAAAAGAAGAATTCTTTTTGTCCTAAGCACTTAGAGGGAGAAGTGCAAAGCCCTCTGGGGAGGTAGGGATATTTAAGCTGAGATATAAAAAATTAAAGAATGAGTGAGGCAGACAGGGGTGAGGTGGGGTGTAGGGAAAACATTCCAAACAAAATGCTGCTCTGTAGGGAGACATAATGTGGTTTCTTGGGACTTAAAGACCAGTCAGGATGCCAGTCAAAAGTAGAGGAAGCAAGAAAGAGAGTGCCCCCAGAAAAGTCTGGGCACGGAGGGAACAACAGGATCATGTGAAGTAGTATAGAAAGATCTTAACTATATTCTAAGAACAGCAGGCAACCACAGAATTGTCTAAAGCAGGACAACGGTAGGGTAAAACTTCATCTGTTAAAGCATCTCAGTCCCCTAACCCCACCATTTCCCTTTCATGTATACACCTCTGTACAGCCCAGATCACATTATATTAGTTAATTGTTTGGGTATCTTTCTCTCCCACGGTGCTTATGGGTCTCTTATTATATCTTATTCATATCTGTAATTCCATTAGGCTTCCTACTGCTCTTGGGATCAAGAGTAAGCTCCTTTGCAGCCTGCAAGGCCTTGTACCATCTGCCCCTTGCCCACGTCCCCAGGACGGTCCGGAGTCACTGCCTTTACACTTCAGTCATTCATCACGGTCTAGTCACTCTGAAAGACCTGTCACATCCTTCCAAAATGCCCTCGCTAGGTTAAAGCCCCTGCTAAACTCTCTCAGAGCAACCAACTCTTCTCTAGCAGAGCACCCAGAGGGATTCACATCACCACTCATACACATTATCAATTTAATATCATATGTCTCCCCTCCTAAACTGTCAGTTTTATGAAAGCAGAGATCTCATATACTTTGGTTACTATCATATCTCCAGGACCTGGCGCTTTGACACTTATAGTTGAGATGTTGAATGACAGAATGGAGTGAGAACGCATGAATGGGTGATTTCATGTCTGATCCAGTGGTCACCAAGGCCAATACAACAGCTGATGTTGGACACCTCTCTCTGATCACCATTCAGGTCCTTCAGTGACATCACCTCTTTGATGGCCTCACTGACTCTCCACTGGAAGAAGCCAATGTTAGTGAAGGCTTATGGAATAATGGAAAGTAGAAATGTATAGAGAAAGCAAAGAAGGCATTTCTGGCAATCTTTGAGTAGCTATTATCTGAATCCTTCTGTCAAGCAAGAGAGAAAAGCTGGCAAATACCCATGCTCAGTTACCAAGTCCATGTAAATGCTGACGTGTATAGGACTTTGGCTGTATTCATAAGCTTTCCAAATCCGGAGCACTTCAAAGTCTTTTATGGGAACTAATGGGGTCAAATACAGTCCTCCAGGTCAGCGCTTCTCAAACTATCTCTGGTAAAGGGCCAAGTTTTAATTTCATTTTCAATCCATCACAGATCAATACTTTACAAAGATAATAGGAATTACATACTTAGATGAGGCTGCAATGTCAAATTTCTGTAAATGTCAAATTTCTGTAAAAGTTTCTATATGCTTACTGACCATTTCTGTACTCATTTCCTTATGGGTAACGAAATATTTGAAGACCTGCATCCATCTGCAAATCACACTTTGAGCAGCACTGATCCAGGTCAGGACTTGCACTCCCACTGCCTCATTCCTCAGCCACAGCAGACATTGCTAATCAATCATCACACATTTTCCCATGTAGCCCATGTTTGGTTTTAAAATCTTCCTCATCCCAGTGTTCAAGATAACCTATTAGAATGGCTATGACCAAAAAGACAAGAAATAACAAGTGTTGGTTAGGATGTGGAGAAAAGGGAACCCTCATGTACTGTTGTGAGAACGTGAATTGGTGCAGCCACTGTGGAAAACAGTATGGAGGTTCCTTAAGAACTCAAAATACAACTATCCTATGATCCATCAATTCCACTTCCGGGTATTTATCGGAAGAGAACAAAAATACTAACTCCAAATATACATGCACCCCCATGTTCAATGAAGCATTATTTACAATAGGCAAGATATTGGGAACTACCTAAGTGTCTGTTGACAGATGAATGAAACTGTGGATTATATAGCTACAATGGAATATTGTTCAGCCATTAATAGGATGAAACCTTGACATTTGCAGCAACATAGATAGATCTCAAGGGTGCGACGTTAAGTGAAATAGGTCAGATTGAGAAAGATAAATGAGAGTTATGATATCTTTTATATATAGACTCTTTTTTTTAAAAGAAAAAACCTACAGATACAGAGAACAAATTGGTGGTTGCCAGAGGTGAGGGACTGGGGGGAGAAATGGGAGGTAAAAATTAAAAGTTTTTAAAAGAAAGAAACCCTGTAACCTTTACCTGTCGTCTTCCTATTCTTCCTTCCCCTACAATCCCAAGGCTAAGCAATCACTAATTTACATTCTGCTTTCTGTCTTTCCTGTTCTGAACATTTTATATGTCTGAAAAATAAACAAAGTCAGCCGCAACCATGTACACAATCATGGGTACCATGGGAAATTACACTTACTTGCCATCCCTACTCTCCACGGCCCACAGGCTGGCCATTTGTCATACGCACACCCAGGAAAAGGAAATGTCTCTATTTTTGTTTCCAGTCTAATGAAAACTTCATGAAGAATGACCATCTCATCAAAAGGAGTCCTTCCTGATCATTCAGTCCATTAACAACCTCTTTTCAGCTTGAGAAACCCTTAATTAGCACACACTAAGAGAAGATACAGCGATTGATACCATGAATAGAAACTTCTGGTATGTTCTCAGACGTAAACTCTATGGATTGCAATTGGGAACCCGAAATCACCAGCCCTTCACTGCTGTGACCCTTTTCTCCCTCCAGTTCTCCATCCCTGTGGCTCACCTGCTTCTACTTCAAGCTGTCACAAGGCCTCATCCACAGTGAGTTATTTTCACTCCTCGGTACACTCTTTAACAAAACAGTGAGGTTTTCATTCCTCCCACATTCATTCTTTTCCCCAAGCAAGATTAAAACTCCTGGACCTTTCTTGGGTCAGTATAAGGCTGTAAGTCAGCCTCCAGTCATGGTCACTGAAAGGACAGAGAAAAAACAGCCATAAGGTGGAGAGAATTGATCTGCTGTCTCCTGGCTTTAGATCTGAAACTCACTCTTGGAGAAAGGCAAATTTCACTTTGAAGCTTTTCTCTCAACCTTGCCTCTAAAGTTCTCTTTCAAATTTTTTTTGCAACTTCCTCCTGATCCCTGCAAACCACAGAATCACAGACTGTTGGTGCTAGATATGCCTTAAAGGGCCTCTGGTTCATCCAAAGTCCTCTTGTGAGTAGTGGGGGAAAATAGTGAGACCAGTGTGAGGAGTCAGCAGACGTGGCCCCCTTGCTAACCACTGATAACCTCAGAAGAGTTAATTCACACACAAAAAAAATAAATAAATAAAAAATAAAAAAAGAGTTAATTCACGTTTCTGAGACTGTTTCCAAGAAAGACAGATAAGATCCCTAAAATGGGGTGATTGTGACCCACTCATGGGCCTAGTTGAGAATAAAATTAGATGATGTAAACAAAGTTGCCTTGAAACGAAAGCACCGTATGAATGCTAGGATTTTAACAGTCCTCAGCATCACAGTGAACTAAAGGCCGACATCAGAGTAGAAGCATGGGAAGGAGAGAGAGAGGGTGAGTCAAGGTGCCTTTTGCCAAAGATCTTTTTTGACCACTTGACACCTGGAATTAATTTAAGGAAAGGAACTGGGGTGTTTGGGACCATCTTAGTCCAAGTAAGAAAGGAAAGTTGGTTGTAATTTGATCTAGGATGGTGGTCATGATAGAAAAAAGTGGACAAATTCAAAAACACTTATGATGTAAAATTATCAGGCTGTGTCCAACAGCAGGTGAATGGATAAAGACAATGTGAGAGAGAGATACACACCATGGAATATTATTAACCATAAAAAAAGAAGGAAATTCTGCCATTTGTGACAAGATGGGTGTTCCTGAAGGATATGATGCTAAGTGAAATAAGCCAGGCAGAGAAAGACAAATTATATATATATATACACATATATAGGTAGATCTTATATATATATATATATATATATATATATATATATATATGTAGAATCAAAAAAAAACTGAAACCAAACTCAAAAAAAGAGAACAGGTGTGTGTTTACTAGAAACACTGTTGGGGTGTGGAGGAAATAGATGAAGGTGTTCAAAAGGCACAAACCTCCAATTATAAGGTAAATAAGCTCCAGGGATATACTGTACAACGTGGTGACTACAGCTAACACTGCTATATAATATATATGGAAGTTACTGAGCTGAAATCCCATCAGTTCTCATCACAAGGAAAAAATGGTTTTGTAACTATATGAGATGGATGTTAACGAAACTAATCATTTTGTAATATATGTGTGTCATTATGCTGTATCCTTTAAATTTACACAGCAAGTCATTATGCTGTATGTCCATGATATCTCAATAAAAATGGTGACAATATACAGCCTTGACATACTCCTTTCCCAATCTGGAACAAGTCCGTTGTTTCATGTCCAGTTGTAACTGTTGCTTCCTGATCTGCATACAGATTTCTCAGGAGGCAGGTCAGATGGTCTGGTATTTCTGTC